AAGACCCTGGTGTGTTGCTGTTGTTGTTGTTGTTGTTGATGTTGATGTTGATGTTGCTGCTGTTGCTGTTGCTGTTGCTGTTGCTGTTGCTGTTGATGTTGATGTTGATGTTGATGTTGCTGTTGCTGTTGATGTTGATGTTGATGTTGTTGTTGATGTTGCTGCTGTTGTTGTTGTTGGTGTTGGTGTTGGTGTTGGTGTTGCTGTTGATGCTGTTGTTGGTGTTGGTGTTGGTGTTGGTGTTGCTGTTGATGTTGATGTTGATGCTGTTGTTGGTGTTGGTGTTGCTGTTGATGTTGATGCTGTTGTTGGTGTTGGTGTTGGTGTTGCTGTTGGTGTTGGTGTTGGTGTTGTTGGTGTTGGTGTTGGTGTTGGTGGTGTTGTTGCTGGTGTTGGTGTTGGTGTTGGTGGTGGTGGTGTTGCTGCTGGTGCTGGTGTTGTTGGTGTTGGTGTTGTTGGTGTTGTTGTTGTTGTTGTTGGTGGTGGTGGTGTTGCTGTTGGTGTTGCTGTTGCTGTTGCTGTTGTTGGTGGTGGTGTTGTTGGTGTTGGTGTTGGTGTGGGTGTTGTTGTGGGTGTGGGTGTGGGTGTGGGTGTTGGTGGTGGTGGTGGTGTTGTTGGTGTTGGTGTTGGTGTTGGTGTTGTTGGTGTTGGTGTTGGTGGTGTTGGTGTTGCTGGTGTTGGTGTTGGTGGTGGTGGTGGTGTTGCTGCTGGTGCTGGTGTTGTTGGTGTTGGTGTTGGTGGTGTTGGTGGTGGTGGTGGTTTTTAATCTTATCGCGTGACTGCCGTGCTGATCGAAACCGAGCGCAGGAGAGGAAGGCAGACTTCAGGCTGCTGCTGCAGGGCTACCGAGAGGGTCGGCTCTGGAGGCGGCGTCACTGACACAGGACTTCCGTCTGAGCCGCCCCGACCTAACACAGCCCGCTCGTCCGCCCGCGAGGAGCCCGAGAAGGGACCGCAACACCGAAGTGTCAGGGACAGGTCGAACCGCCACCCATCAGACACTGCTACAGTATATCCCCAACTCCACTTACTCCATCCCAGTCTAACCCCAGTCTACCCCAGTGTAATCCCAGTCTAACCCTGATTTCACCTCAGTCTTACCCCAGTGTAACCCCAGTGTAACCCCAGTCTAACCTCGATTTCACCTCAGTCTAACCGCAGTGTAACCCCAGTCTAACCCCGTTTTCACCTCAGTCTAACCCCAGTGTAACCCTGATTTCACCCCAGTATAACACCAATCTAACCCTGATTTCATCTCAGTCTAACCCCAGTGTAACCCCAGTCTAATCCCGATTTCACCTCAGTCTAACCCCAGTGTAACCCTGATTTCACCCCAGTATAACACCAATCTAACCCTGATTTCACCTCAGTCTAACCCCAGTGTAACCCCAGTCTAACCTCAATTTCACCTCAGTCTAACCCCAGTGTAACCCCAGTGTAACCTCGATTTCACCTCAGTCTAACCCCAGTCTAACCCTGATTTCACCTCAGTCTAACCCCGATTTCACCTCAGTCTAACCCCAGTCTAACCCCGATTTCACCTCAGTCTAACCCCAGTGTAACCCTGATTTCACCCCAGTATAACACCAATCTAACCCCAGTCTAACCCTCTTACCCCAGTATAACCCTCGTGTAACCCCAGTCTTGCCGTATACACACAAAGTTTCGTGAAGAATGTGGCACAAACGCTTCTACATAGAAAATCTCCAGATGACAGAAAAAAATAATACAGCTCATCACGACATATTCCCACCTTCAGCATGAGAACCAACCCAAACACTCAAGTCTACATTCACCACCAAAGCAGGCAAGACAAACACACCCAGGGAGCACAAGATCAGATATCTGCCTACAGAAAAGACACAGACCTCCAGGGCCGTCTAGTCCAAAGCAAACTAAAACCTGCAAGAAAACAGATCACACACACACACACACACACAGACAGTGTACGACACTCTGACACCCTGCAGGACTGCCTGAAAAACATCAGGAGAGTCCCGGTAACACACTCTCTC